TGGAAGCTCTGAGTTAAGAGAATAAACAGCAAAAAGAAGAGATGAATTGATTACCGTTGTTTCGAATCAGACAAAATCAAAGATCATATGACCCCGCGTTGCAATTTTTGTGCTCGCTACTGTATATACATCAAATCCGAAGAAATACACCTAGGCCTCTATCGGGCCTGTTGTGCGCTCCTTAACCAGTGCCTCAGGTGGGAATCGAACCCACCACCTCCGGTCTACCAGACTAGAACACTAACCACTAACCTACCGGAGGCCACATTGAAAACTTTACAACGCGGAATTAATGGTTTCCTTACCGCAATGTCTATTTATGAAATTCCTACCGAAAATTGGGATCCAATTCAAGTTTTTATTTGCATACAAAGACTTCCCTCTCAGACAGTGACATTATGGGAACAAAGTGTTAAGGACAAAACTGCCTTATCTTTATGCAAAGATTTGGACATGTTTTTGACCGAAAGAATTCAAACGTTAGATTGCATACGCGATCTTATGAGTTCCAATACTGAGAAGAAAAGCATTGAACGCAAGGAAAAGGCTCACGTTTTGAATACAAGTCCTTCGAATGCTTGTGTTTTATGTAAAAAACCGAGTCATTTACTTCGTTTTTGCCGTCAGTTTGATAGAATGTCTATTCCTGAGAGATGTAGAACGGTTAAAAAATTGCATTGCTGTATTAACTGTCTTGCTAACTCACATGAAGTTAATGATTGTTTAAATTAACATCGTTGTTTTATTTGTAATAAGCGGCACCATACTACATCGGGATTCTTCAGTTTTGCAAAACTCTAGCAATGCACTTCCTGCGTCATTAGATGACAACTCATTGGTTTTACGACCATACAATCCCACTCCTAATGACCAACGGCCTACTATCACGTCAACTGCAAGACCGACTACGTCAGGCACTATAGTTGAACGGCAAGTATTTCATACTAGTCAAAAAATTCTATTCCTTTGGATACAGTGACTAGCAATGTACCTCCTACTTCATTAGATGACAATTGTGTGGTTCTACGACCCGCTAATCCAACTCCTAATGACCAACTACTCACTTTGTCAGGTACAACAGCTGGAAGACATACCATGACTGGAGTATTCCATACTCGTAGGAATCATTCTGTTCTATTGGGTACAGCAACTGTCGACTTGATACACAATGGTTGTAGATATCAAGTTAGAGCTTTAATTGATCCTGCTTCAGAATGCACAATTATTTCTGAAAGGTTGAGGAAAAGATTTAAGATTCCAACCATTTCCGAAACAGCGAAGGTTTTGGGCGTAAATGAGGAATTTTCGGCCATTTCGACGAAGACTTCTAATTTGATAATAGGTTCTAACTGATTCGTCATTTTTATTAAATACTTCTGCTTCTATTTTGCCAAGCATTTCGGGAAATTTGAATTCGGTATCGGTCAATGCCGACAAATTACCAAATCTTCATTTGGCAGATTCGAATCCTTTCGGAAGCAGACCTGTAGAAATATTATTAGAAGCTGACGTATACCCCCAGCTAATTTTACCCGGAATTAGACAAAACATACTAGGATCATTATTGGCTCAAAAAACCGTATTTGGTTGGATATTAACCAGTCCTGTAAAGAGTATTAATCTATCTCCTGCGAAAGAAAGATATAGGCCAACTAAAAATAGATACATTTCAACAGGGAATCGTAATGAACCCAAATGATGTAGGAACTAGTTAGTTTACCGATCTGTAACACAACCGCAACTAACTAAAGTCGTGAATAAGGCATTAATTTTTATATCGTCTACGACACGGCACTACGTGCAAATACATTATAACCTTTTACGAGGTAATATTTAAATATAAATAGAGATTTACATTTATTCCTAGCGCTGAATAAATTGAAAGAAATTGAAAGAATATTTAGGTAATTTACTCTTACCAGAGGCAGACTTGTTGTTTGAATTCCTAAATTATCACTATATATCAATTTACACTAACCTTTTCTTAAATTCTATTTAATTCAGCAAGAGCCATAAGCGGCTTAACCGGAGTCTCACCATGGCTCAAACGGGTCCTTAATGACCCAATTAGTAAAAACTAATTATGAAACATCATTGAGTCCTTAATGATTCAATCCGAGTCCTTAATGACTCATTCAAAAATAAAAATACAGTCCACGGGAGCCCTTAATGGCTCGACATTTATTTTATTACAACACTTTAACTGTTGCAAGAAGGCCGGCAATGTTTAAGTACAAATCGATTATTTGCGGTATGATTTACTATCATTAGTTTACATCTTTGATTGAAAACTATAATAAAATAACGAGTAAACCGCTAACTGTATTTAAACTTTGTTTGCCTCCATATACTTAGAAATAAGTAGTTAAAAGTCACTCGTCATATAGAAGCCTTAAAGAGCACTTCTTGTGTGCATACTTTCTTAAGGTAAATATAAAATAAAGGAAGACAAATTCTAAATTTATAATAAATAATTCTAATAATAACTTTTAAGTGGTTTTTCAAAAAGAAAATAGTTTTTTAAATGTTATATAAACCATACATGGGAGTAGTTAATTATATCGACTAATTAATTGACGACTTCATTAGCATTAATTCAAAAAAAATTATAATTATTTTTTTTTCATTAGCATTATTTTGTCTAATGGTAATGCTTTTTAATGGAACGATTTCATTAGTAATTATTAAAAAAGAAATTTTCCTTACCATTATTTAATATATTTTAAAAATTTTCGAATATAAGTTCGAATTTCGAAATTAATTTCGAATATCCGAACATTATAATATATTGTCATTAGGTGAAATCATGCATGCCAATTTTCAGCCCATTCGGACTAGGAGAACTAGTTTTAACAGCTTTAAAAATTTTTCGAACACGAGTTAAAATTTTCGAATTTTTTTTTATGACACAGAGATTAATTTAAAAACATAAAACATTTTTCGAAAATAACTTCGAATGGGTTTTAAAAGTTTTCAAACCTGTGCTCGAATCTTCGAAAAATTTTCCTGAATTCTTATTAAATATATTTTTCGACAATTATAAATACTAATTAAATTTGTTTTAGAAAATTCATTATCAAATTCATTACCATTATCAAATAAGTTATAATGAAAAAAATATAATTTTCATTAAATGGTACTTAAAATATTTTTCATTACAATTTTTTCTATAAATGGTAATGAAATTTGAATACTGAAAAATTCCCATGTATGATATAAACGCATTACAGTAAAAAAAAACAATTTTAAAAGAAAGAAGTGAAGACTTACAAAAAACCATAACTTTTATAAATATATATATATATAATTCTGAAGTGTAGACTTACAAAAAACGTAGTGCAACAAATGGGTAAAAAGCATCGCAGATAGAAAAAGGATGTAATTTTGTAAAATAATTTAAAAGTTTTATGAACTTTTAGTTGCATTTTCTGGAAAAGCTACTTATCTGGTGCAGGCCTTTATTCTATATTTGACTCTAGCCCCTGTATGAAGCCACTTTCAGAAAATTAGTTTTTCTTCAATATGTCGCAATTGAAATAAAATTCAACATAAATATTTTATTTGCTAAATAAAAACATTTTAAATAAACTCACAACTGGTGCAGGGTATCATATGGTCGGCCCAGTCCGGTTATACTTTCCTACTTGTTTAAATATTTATGTATATCGTGGTGTACTAATTGCACATTATATACCTTCGCCCTTTTGTATTTTTAATGAAAATTATATAATAAACTACTTTGAAAACATTATTGGGAGGTCAAAGATATTTTTAAAAGATATAGAGAATTTAGAATAACTATAGAGTTCGGAATAATTGTGTTAAATTAAAAAGGAAAATATACTACCCAGAAGGTAGCTTTAAAATGAAAGGATACAAAATGCAAGATATCCTTAATCGATTTTTATCCTTTCATATTCTTCAAAGTTCCCACTTTTTTAACTTTTTATCATAGAGATAAAGAAACTCGGTTCCACAATATCAAATTTCTCATTTTCTACATAATATTTTAACAAAAAAAGGACTTTGAAATTTTCAGAGGAGAAAATTTTATTAATTTATTAAAAAAATATATATATAAAAATATACATATATAGCTATGAAGACCAAATTTTTTACTCTTAAAAATAAAACAAAATACGATATATAAATACTGCAATTGTCCTCTTTAGTTTGATACCCATATTGTTATAATAGGGTGGCTAAAAATATTTTATAAACATTTTTGAAAATTGTATGTACCACAAATTTGAAAGTCCTTTAAAAAGGACAAACGATCAGAAAATGAAAAACTGAGTACGCAGTTATACCACATAAATTATGTGCTTTCGTATGTAAGTATATGGTTTGGATCGTGTGTGAAAAATGGTGTTGGACGGTGTTATATTTGCATGTGGCTTTAAGTGTTAGTGCAAACTCTATGTTATTTTATCGGTTTCGATATGACTATACCATTTATTGTTAAAAAAAACAAAATTATCTTTCATTTTCAAATTTTGGATTTTTTGTTCGTGAGGAGCTTTTATTGCTTGGACAAAAAAATAAATACATTTTAATTATATTTGTATTTTTTAAGTTTTTAATCGGATTTTTTGGAAAGATTTGTGATTTTTATTGAATTCCCTTTTAGTTATTATAAAATAAATGGGAAAATATTTAATAGATGAGTTGAGGCAAGCTTTGTACTACCGAAAAGAGGAGAACTACGTTGACGCTAAGAGATAAGGAAAAAAGTCTTGGTTTTATGGCCGGAACCTTGGATCGATCCTTATCTTTTGTCAAAATGCGCTTAAAGACAACAATCAACTGAACACCGTGGAAGACCAAAGAAAACATCAACAACGGATAATCGTTTAATTCTTATGGCAAAAAAAACTCTTTCATCTCTTTCATCTGCAGATAATGGTAACGTAATTTCGTCCCGAACGGCTCGTTGAACGGCCAGAAGAATTCATTTGCTTCGGCAAAAAAATAAAGAAACGGCTAACTTTCGCCAGAATTCACTCAAATTGGTCCGGACCAAAAGGTGAAAAAATATGGCGTAATATCGTATAGACCGACGACACTAAAATTAATTTGTTCGGAAATGGCGTAGTAGGCAATGTATTTGTAGATGTTGTAGGCAATGTAGGGTTGTCTTGATGTACTTGCTTTGGAATATGAGGCAGTAAAGCTGGATTTTGAAGAATTTGTTGATCTGTATTAAAACTATCTTCTGAATTAGAATCGGGATTTGAACATGTTGGTGTGTCAGGTGATTGTATGTTAGTAAGGCGTAATTGGTTTATGTGGCGCTTAAATACAAACCCATTATCAAGACGAACAATATAATGTAGGTAACCAAGTTTTTTAACGATGGTACCAATTCTCCATGAAGGCTTATTTACGACATAATATCTGGCTTGAACACGATCTCCCTCACATAGCTGTCTAACTAGTGTACCTGAATTTGAAGTTTTGCAGGATTTTAAAGGTTTTAAGGCATCAAGTTGTATTCTAATCTGCCTTCCTAGATACTGCTCAGAGGGTGATTTTCCATTTCGCAGCGGTGTTGCTCTGTATCTAAAAAGTATCTCACGAATCTTTTTGGGAATAGGCGATGAATCGTCAGACATGGCCGCTATGCGCTTCTTAAGAGTCTGGACATTCCTTTCGGCCAAACCGTTTGTTGCTGGATGTCCAGGGGCAATAAATTTTTGAAAAATGCCAGAATTTCCACAAAATTTTGTAAATTCGTCACTTTTAAAGATGGTTGCATTATCCGATACCATAACATCTGGATATCCGTTTCTGGCGAAAATGTTTAATAACATTTCAATGGTTGAAGAAGAAGTTGGTGCGGAGGAGCATACGCCAACTTCTGCCCATTTTGATTTGGAATCAATGACTACTAGAAATTGATACCCTTGGTAAGGTCCTGCATAGTCAATGTGAATACGCTGCCAATTTTCTTGTGGTTCATCCCAAGGATGCAAAAAAGCTTTTGGTGGATTATTCTGTACAGAAGCACAAGCAGCACACGAACGGACGAAATTTTCAATATCTTTATTTATTGAAGACCAGAATACGTACCTTCTCGCCAGTTGCTTCATTTTGGTTATACCAATGTGAGTATAATGAAGTTCATTAAGCACAGCTTGTTGAAGTGAAGTTGGAACCATAACCCTTTTTCCTTTAAATAAAATATCAGAATCAATAGTATATTCCGTATCGGCAACATTTGAATGGCGTAATTCGGCGATGATTTTTGAAAGTTGTGAATCTCTATTTGTAGCATTTCGAATTGAATTATAATTTAATTCTAATGAACTTATTTGAAACAAGGTTGAATTACAAATAGTGTGCACTTCATCGTCTATAAAATTTATGTGATCCATACTTGTAGTTAAAGGGGCTCTTGACAGGCAATCAGCATTGATGTTTTCCTCACTTTTCTTCGTAGCAACTTCATAATTATAGCCAGTCAAAAACGCAGCATACCTCTGAAGTCTCGATGATGTCATTTGTGGTAATTTAGAATTTTGGTGGAAAATGCGGGATAATGGCTGGTTGTCAGTTACAAGCTTAAAAAGTCTACCATACAGGTATTCATGAAAATGTTGAACAGAAAACACAATCGCTAAAGCCTCTCGGTCAAGTTGAGAATAATTCTGTTCTGCTGGTATTAATGACCTCGATGCGAAAGCAATCGGCCTTTCCGTACCATTAACTACATGTGACAAAACGCCCGCTATCCCTGTGGGACTAGCGTCGCATGCAAGCATAACTTTTAACTCAGGATTGAATGGCATTAACACACGCTCACTAGCAATTTCCTTTTTCAGCAATTTGAATGACTTTTGGCAGCTAGAATTCCATTTAAAACTTACATTTTTACGTAACAAAAGTCGTAACGGTGTTGTTATTGTGGAGGCGTTGGGTATAAATCTAGAATAATAGGTCACCATGCCAAGAAATTGACGAACATGCTCCACACATTTTGGTTGGGGCATCTCAACAATAGCCTTTACTTTAGAAACAGATTTCTGGACTTTGTTGTACTGCACAGTATGACCCAAAAATTCGATTTCTTCCTTGTAGAATGTACATTTTGAAAGGTTTAAGTGAAGGTCGTATTTTTTTAATTGAGTCAAACAAGACTTTAAATTGGCTTTGCACTCAGCTAAAGATTCACCATGAACCACAATATCATCAAAATACGATTCTGTCTTCGGAATTTCACGTAATATTTGATCTATAATTCTATTAAATTCAGCAGGAGCTGTTTTGATGCCAAATGACAGGCGATTCATTCTAAAGGTGCCTCGATGAGTTGAAATAGTTTGAATTTCGGATGAAAGCTCATCGACTGGGACGTGTAAATAGGCTTTGTAAAGATCAAGGCGACAATAATATTTTGAATCCTTCAGGCTATTGAATATTTGATCTATTTTTCGTATTGGATAATGTGCACTTACTAACCTTTGATTTACGCCCACCTTATAGTCTACGCAAAGTCGCACGCCTCCGTCAGCTTTTGGAATAACTACTAGGGGAGAACCCCAGTCACTATTGGCCACTTTGGTGATGATCCCACCTTTTTCCAATTCGTCAAGCTCCTTATTAACTCGTTCTGTTAATGCATACGGAATTTGGCGCTCTTTTGTGTAGCTAGGTGTGGAATTTTCACGCAATTGTAACGAAATTTTGTAGTTAGGGATACACCCAATTTTCTGATCAAAAACTGACGCAAATTCGGTCATTAAATCTTCAATTTGATTCGAATCTGTAATAGAATTAGTGACAAACATAGCTGAATTACCATTATCTAATTCATTAAGATTTATGCCTAAGCGACGTATCCATGTCCTTCCTATTAGAGCCGTACACCCGTCCGGTACCACATAAAGGTCATCAATTATAGAAATGTTGTTGAATTTGACATGTACATGTACCTTGCCATCTGGAGTAAACGTATTTTGTGTGTAGGAACGGAACACGATATTTGTTGGGGTTATTACGTTAGACAAACGCAGTTCTTTGAACATACTTCGGGGTAAAAATGAATATCCAGAGCCTGAGTCTACTTCAAATTTTACAGTTTTTCCTTCTATTGAAATATTTGCATAGTAACGATCAGAATTTCTATTTGAGTAGTCATTGCAGTAAACATCAACAATTTTATAAATTCCGTAATTGGAATTATCACTTCGAACTTGATTTGTTGAGTTGCCTCTGGTACTCTGAGTGTTTTTAGGTCCGGCATTAGGACTATCCGCCAAAAGAGAAGCAATGCAGACTTTTGCTACATGCCCGTGCTTTGCACATAAATTACACTTTAATTTTGAACTGGATCGACAGTCTTTTGCAAAATGGTCATTCCTGCCACATCGCAAACATAACCCAGCAATACCCAATTTCTCGTAATTTACTTTACGCTTGTGTTGATGTTGAATTCTGGGGTGTATTGGTACTTTCCTCTTATTGAAAATTTTATTGACAGATGCGTTTGATGAATTTGCTGCAGCCTGCGATAATTCCTTTGCATCACACTTAGCTGCTTCGAGCGCCAACGCCTTTAACACAATTTCTTCAAATTTAGTTGCATTTGATTGCAGTAGTTGTTCACGAATGCCATTGTCATTAATGCCACGGATAAATTGTGCCCTTAAAAACACATCAGAAATTGAACTTTTGCACGCACAATCTGACACAAACTCACAATCGATGATATCGGTACGAAGTACTGCGACAAAATCTGCCACCGACTGTCCCTCACTCTGATATTTGGATAAGAATTTGTGTTGGGCCACAAGTACGTTCCTCTTTGGAGCTAAATAATTTTCTAATAGCTTTAATAAATCATCGTACTGTAGTTCAGCTGCAATTTTTGGTGCCGCTAATGCCGTCACCCTATCAAAATGCTTTGCACCAATTGAATTGAGGAGGAGCTTCGTACAATACTCCTTATTATTTTCGACGTTCTTCATGTTCACGTAATTTGTGAACCGCTGTATGTAATTACGGAATGTCTCCTTGGCCGTATCAAATGCTTCGAAGTTTGGAACTAATGCTGTGTTGATGATGTTACTGTTCGGTACTGCACTTGAGGAGGATGCACCAACAGTCAACTTGGATATTTGTGTTATCAAATCTTGTTGCGTCTTCATGAATATTGCAAATTGATTGGCATCCATCTTGATTTTTTTTTTTTTTTTCTAAGCTTGCACTTGCTTAAATACAAAAAAAAAAAATACAAAAAACTTATTTATTTTTTTTTTTAATAACAATTTTACTCTCGTCGCCAACTATTGTATTTTTGAGTGCTGTTGAAATTTGGTAGTCGAATCTAAATAATAATGTACGTCTTCTGTTTATTATAACTATTTATTAATAATATTCAAAACTACATTTTATAAAGGTGTTATTAAATGGCGCTCAGTTTATAGAATAACGAAAGAACTACTCGATAAAAGAAAGTCAAAAGATGTTTGATGGTGTGGTTGCCATATTAATTTGTTTACAAAAGTATTAACACTACAACTGACATAAAAATATAACAAAAATTAATTAGGTTCACTTTTTAATTTATCTTCAATAAATATTTTAAGCTATTAAACAGAAATTTTACTGGTGTATTTTTTTTTGTCCATATGTGTATAAAAAGAAAAATTGGAATAGATAATGCGGAAGATATTCTACATTATATTATAAATGATTAAATGTCTGTAACTCCTAAACCAAATGAGAGCAAGAAAACATTTTACACCAGTTTAAACACAGTTTCAAATTAAGTTTGCAACATCTGCACACAGGGCCAGAGAATTTGATTTTTGGCCAAGTCGTTCGCATAACCATTCACACCAATATGTTGAGCACGCTTTGAAGCAGGTTTCGTGAAAATCTTATATAAATCTAGCAGTGGATCTACATAATAAATAAATATCAGGGACGCTTATTAAGATTTTGTGAGAAAAAATTAAAATGGCGGATCTAAAATGGTGGTCAACACATATGAGTCACATTTGATTCGAATGCGAATTAAAATTTTCAAAATTTAACAAACTGAATCCAATATGACGGATCAAACATAGACAATAATTAAATTTCGGGGACGCTGATTAGCATTTTGTAAGAAAAAAGAAATAAAAATTTAAAATGTCGGATCCAAAATGGCGGTCAACATTTTTAAAAAGTGGCTAAATGGAATATTTAATGCGAATACAGATTTTCAAAACTCAATAAACTGAACTCAAGATGGCGGATCAAACAAAGCCTAAAATGAAAAAATTATTTTTTAAAAGTATTTAACATCAACAAAGTAAAAATATATGTATGCGTAAAGTATATCGGGACATAATACTAAGAAATCTTAATTAAAAGATATAATGACAGATCACAATGATAAAAAACTTTAAAGCCTCCAAATAAAGAATGCATACCTTTTTTTCCTCTCCACTTTAGTCTTAAAAACCATTAAAAAAATTGTGATATTCATAAACAAATAATAAACCCATAACAGCTATTGTGCTGTTTTATGTTTTTCTTGACAGCACTGTACAATTTGGCTGTAATTTTTGCGCACAATTTCATATTTTTATTATACCCTACACCACCATAGTGGGGAGGGTAATATATGGTTGTGCTGATGTTTGTAACGCATAAAAATATTGGTCCTACACCCACCTTAAAGTATACCGATCGACTCAGATTCACTTTTTGACAATAAAAAAGAACTTTTATGCAAAATAAATATATATATGGCTATAATTAATGTTTATTTAGTTCAGATGTATAAATGTAACATATAATTTGTAATTATTATTAAAAGTATCCGAAACGGATATTTTGCGTCAAAATAAACATCACTATTGCACATTTTCTTATTTTTATTTATTTTCCTTGAAATTTTTGATAAATTTTTGGAAATATTGATAAATTTCTTTGATATTTGAATAATTTTAACCCGTCGAATATATTTTGCTTTAATATAACACTTATCAATATAATTTACATGATTACTTACTTTATGGCATTATATTTAACCAACAAACTTTGAAAAAGGCAAATCAAATGATTTTATCCATTATTTGGTTGACAGACGGGTATTTCGAAATTGCCTAAAAATATTGCTGGCCAATTGAAAAATTGTCAAATATTCATGCATTAATCCAATAATGCCTAGATTTGAGTTTTTTCCCAAAATATAATCGTTTAAAAATTTTCTATGATTTAATTTACAAATTTATATACGTTAAAATTTGAATTTTTAGATTTTATTTTAAAAGAAACCATACATAATTAGTTTTCGCTATCAACCTAAAATTACCGAAAAAAACTTTATCTGAGAAAAAAAATTGTTAAAGATTTACTTATTGTTGGCTTAAAGAAGGGTCGAGCCTACAATAAAATTCTTATATTTGTCAATGGTTTATTGAAGGTGTTTTAAGCTATTTGACGCTTATGAATGCGGGTTTCCTGAAATTTGTCTAAAATTGTTTAATAAACCCAAAATAAGTTTTTATTAGATTAATAGATATCCAAAACTTAACGATTTTCATAGCAATTTTTGGCAAATTTTGCACTACTTAACAATTCTAACACCTTAGAATGGGTATAAGTGGAATTAAACATTAAGGTATTTCGATGAAATGTTAAAAATGTGCTAAAATAAGTAAAATTAAATAGAAAAAGACCAATAAGCATCGAAAATTCATGACAACTCGTAACGCAATAGAGGGTTTAGAGTTTGGGATCAATACACTGAAAATAATCCATGCCTAATATACACGAAAAATGTTGTACGTTGTACGAAATGCTTCGTGGTTTCGCACCACGAAATTCTTTCGTAATATATACGAAATTGTACGAAATATTTTAGTAAAATGCAAAATAATTTTATATAATTTTAGAAAAAAAATTTGTTCATTTCACGATTTTTTTAAAGACATAAATATTTTAGTTCTTTTAAAATAATTATTGTAAATTTAGAAAAAGATTGCGAATTAAAAAAAAAAAAAATTTTTATGTTTTTTAAAAAAACATACAAAATTTTACAGGAAATTAGGCAGCTAATTTCCTGTATATTAAAAATTACGTTTAATTTAACTCCCTTAAAATTGCGAAAATAACAAAAAAAATCGTAACAAAATAATTTTTTTATGAAATCAAAAATAATTCTTAAAATAATTCGTTAAATATTACATGCCTTAACGAAATTATTTTTGTAAAAGAAAACAAAGTTTCTTAATATATACGAAAAAAGATATCACGACAGGTTTTTGTACTTTCGTAAAATTAGAAAAGGGGTTGATTAAACAATACTGCGTATTATACACGAAATTTTCGTATATATTACGAAAAAAGTAGTTACGAAATTTTTTTTTCGTAAAGTTAAGAATGGATTATTTTCAGTGTACCATAGTAGAAATGATATATTCTATTAAATAAAAACCAAAATATTTGTAATAGTTTTCGTTAGATTATATATTTTGGGAATCTTATAAGCCTTTTTTATAAAAAATAAAGAAAAAATTTTGTTATATTATTTATTTAGATTTTATATCATATAAAAAATAGTTTCTATATTGAAATTAATTTCCAATGTTCAGTCCCCTACGACATTTTGATTTGTCAAGAATTATCGATACTTATTCGACTTTTTTGTATTAAACTTATTTTAGCATATTTTAAAGTTTTTATCAAAATACCTTTATATTTAAGTCCATGTTTTTCCTTCTAAATTGTTTGAATTGTTAAGTAGTATAAAACTGTTCTAAATCATTTCAAAAAATAGTTCTATAGGTGATTTTAATACTTTTACCAATTTATTTTATTTTTTTTTTTTTTATTTTTATTTATTTATTATTATTATTTATTATGAAATGTATAAAAAATAATAAAGTTTGCTGAGGTTAAAATTTATTATAATAGAAAATTGAAATGTACACTCTTAATTTCTCGATATGATGTATAAAATTTGTTTAAGACTCCCTATCAGTGCTTACGCTCATTCTACAACACTTTCTATTAGGGTAGACATTATAAATTTATTGATCATTAAAATGATCGAGAAGGCGTTTACGAAATAACCTGCAAGAAAAAGAAAACTTTCTAAGATTTAATGATTTTATAAAAGTATATTAAATTACGGAGTTTTATATACTGCTTGAAAGAACAGGATAGAAAGTTATTAATTATTAAGCATTAGATCATATACCGGCGGATAGAGAGGCAGATAAAAAAATCACCACTACACACACACTACCCTGCAAAATTTTTTGGAGTACTTGTTCCATTTTAAGTTAAACGGAGTAGTTACAATATGGTCCCATGTAATGTAGTCTTGGACCATGTTATTTTCAAACAATATACATATTAAGCAATGTGGAAACCCTAGCACGATATGTTTTATGAAAATAAAAATACACCATTGGTAATATTGGTGTCATCCATTTTTTAATATATTTCAAATTAATTAGTGTATATACAAATTTGAAAATAAAATTGAAAAAAGAGTGGAAAATTTTGTAATAATAATTGATATATTGTGTAATAATTAAATAATTGTGTAAGATAATGGATTGGAGTTCGCGTCACAAGAGAAGACTTGTGAAAGCGGAAAAAGAAAATTGTCTAAAAAGATTAGACAGCGCAAACGCGATAATTGAGTGCACCGAAAGGGCCGAAATTCTTGATTGTATTGAACCTGCAGGTGGAGAAGCTTTTATAGAAGAAGATGATGTGCCTGTAGAGTTAGAAGATACAATTAACATTCGAAATGATTTAAAAACTGATTTAGGGCAATGGCAGATGGATAGTCGAACTTCACATAGAAATATGAGAGAACTGTTGTGCATTTAAAAAAAATATGGTATGGACCTGCCGATCTCTCCAGTGGCACTTTTAAAAAAGAACTATACTAAAGTGAATATAGTGACAGTACAACCCGGGCAATACGCGCATTTTGGAATTAAAGAAAGCTTAATGAAAGCAGCCAATTTAATAGAAAAATATGAGGAAATAATTTGCGATATAAATATCGACGGTTTACCAATCTTTAACAGTTCAAATGCACAACTTTGGCCAATATTAATTAAAGTTATAAATATAAAAAATGTAAAAGTGTTTGCTGCTGGTGTATATTGTGGTAAACAAAAGCCGTATGATGTAAATGAGTTTTTAGAAAAATTCGTAG